GATTCAATGGCAATTTACCTCAGTCGTAACGGTCGCCTGCAGCATGGGTGGAAAGTGACCGAACCATAATATGTGGAGAAAATCGTCCATGGACGACCCATCTACCAGGTGATATACGAATTATATCTCTCCTTATCTCTTCTAAGCTCACGAGACTATTGAACACCGTATCTGTCATTTAAACAGTCAATATTTTCAGATCCGTCGAAACTAACAATAAGACACCTTTTTCAAAACTGAGTTATAACCGAATGGATTTCTTCCATTATGACAAATTCTTTATTAGTCAACCCGTATCTAAGATTGAAAATCTTGAGAAGGGGGCTAAAGCATTTAGACTTTCTGTTACTTTTGTACAGGCCAAACGTTAAGAGTTATCGAAAAAATTCTTGCGCCATTGTATTCAGTGGGTCAAAATCTCAACGAATGCTCGACATTTTTTCTTTTTTTGTTTTTTTTTGCCACTTCCAGTCTGACCAGGGTTGGATTTAAAGCCAATCTTGCTCTACTTTTACCTAGTTTTATTGCAGTTTACACGTAATAGATCATCCCCGATCGTTACTTTTCCACCATGTTGCACATGTCATGAAGACTCACGAAATTGATCACATACTAACAATGTTCCTAGTTTTCTTGAAATACAGCTTTCTTAGAACGGTTAACGTAACTTCAATTATTGATCAAATGCATCTCCAAAGATTTATAATATTTACTGTTATGTACGTTGATACGTGTACTACATGCATAAAGGGACCTTTAGTCTATCAATATACAGGGTGTCCTAGGTTTAAAGTAAAATTAATACGTATAAAAGTCGTGTTTAGTTGAAGACCCGAAGGAATTCGTAGTCATTCAAGTGAATTCACTTTAGTCTTCCAATAATTCCATGCTGTAACCGCGTCGCGCACTTAACCCAGTTTTCCTCGATGTCCCGAGGTCTCAGTGAATAGCGTGTACGAAAGGAGGTAATGACCCGTAGATTTTCGGTCGATTACGAACTCTTCCTCGAACGCTAATTATTTTCTACATTATCGGAGAAACGATATACGTCGTTTTCTCACAAGTTATTTGAACAATTGATAATTCACCACGTTTCAAAAGATATATATCTCTTTCTGACCAACAATTTGTCTTTTTTATTATTATGCATGTTTATCCAAGAAATTTATATTCCCAACAGATGGAGACGGTTTTTAGTAAATTAGAGACATGTAAACGAAAAAATGTTTATCTACACTTTTAATAGTACACTGTGCAACATAATTATAGCACCGCTACAATTTTTAGGAGTTTTGAACATTTATACTATATTAGAATAGATTTTTATCAATTTCAAAATAGAGGCACTTTATTGTTAATAATTTTATTCAATTAAATTCCAATTAAAGAAATAAATTAAATAGAACTTCTAATTCTAATTTCGATATGAATTTTTGCTTTGAATTTTCATTGAGTATTCATACATTTATGAGAAGCATAGTTCTGTATGCAGTACAGTGGCCAACGTGTCAAACAATTTATGTATTAATAAAGTAAATTTTAAAAATTACATGCTTTATTATTAGTTATAAACTCACGACATATGATTTATATCGAAGTTCATTCAATCACGAAATAGACAAGTGTTTAGGTACTCAAAAAAGATTTAAACTTGATTTTTCCAAAAACAGAGCTTCGAATAAAAAGCGATTTAATTCCACTTATTTTTCCTCATGTAGAATCATCGCCTCCACGATTGTACTGGAGGCGATTGATGTCCCATCAATACTCGGACACATTGTATGATGATTTCTAAATGATTAAAAATATGATGTACAGTGAAAAAAGTGTGAAAGTATCATTTATTTAAAACGAAATATAGTAATAAAACAAATATTTCACTGATGCATATCTATAGCATCAGTGTGTAATTACCACGTAATAACAATGTTTAATTAATAATAGGCCCTCTTTTCAAATGTATTAAATAAAAAATATGTTTTAGCATGTTTTTAACTAACTTTTAAAAAATTTTCCGCTAATTGTACTCCAGGATGCAATAACATCTTCTTTCAATTACGAAACGTTTTAGAAGTTCCGGTTATTTGCATAAATATATTGTACCATAATACCTCATAAACTTTCCATAGGATTGTGATCCGGGGAATATGCTCGCCATTTCAATAAATTGATATTAATCGTAAGAGTTTCAGATTTCTTAAAAAATTGAAACTTGGATAATAATTAAATATTTAAAATTTCTTATTATAAGTATTTTTATTTGAAGAAGATGCAAAAAGAAAAACATTCTCTTCCGTGAACCGGTATATATTTTCTGAGGTTACGAGCAAAATTGTAGTTTTGGATAGAAAAATGCGTTTTTAAAAGTGCGTGAAAACCAACAAGATTGTGCAGAAAATCTTGTTCAACACTTTGAATTTTTAACTTATACAGCACTCACTTGATCATAATGTTTTAACTTGGGGACGCGTTACACTCCCTTTGGGGACCTCCTTGGAGATATTTTGTACGACTGAAAAATCATAATTTAATTCAAAGAACTGTTTAGCAAACCCTTGATTCTTTTTTTCAAGAAAAAATAATTCGTAACCGAAAGGGTTAAAAAATCGTGCACGCAGTTACGACGAACACGTTGTATATATGATGACATGATTTTTAAATGAATTCTTTGATTTCGATTTTTTAAAAGAATTTAACATTTTTATTTACACCACATGCATCCAACAGTGAGATCGACAAACAAACTGGAGGAATTCATGTTTCACACGTCGTGGATTGTGTATACGCATACATGTATATTGATATCATAGATTGTACCTGTTTGTTAACTGTAACAACACGCATATATGTACATATACGAACACTAAATAAAACATGAATTCTTTTCGACTTTTCGTCAATTGTTTGATTCCAATGTAACTGTATTTTTATTCACCTGCTAGTCAGCTTTATTTCAAATTTAACACTTTATATACCGGAAGTCTATTAATAGGCTTTTTGATAGTATCGGCTGTTGAAGAAAAATTAATTAATAATCTTTAGATTATTATAAATTCACATATAACTCTGCTGAAATTATAAAAATTAAATGTACTTCAATTAAGAGGAAATTTATAAAAAAGATACACCTTTTAATCTTTAGTTATTGTTAATTGTAAGATGGTAGTGTTATTTTATTTCATTAATGGCCGGTGAAAAAACTTTTTTTCAATTGTGTACAGTTTGTATTTTAAGCTGAAATCGACTAATCTAGCATGTTTAATTAGAGTATGTTGAATAATTAAAACCCCTTGGTATGGGTCTTGGTTTAAACATTTTAAAAAATATACTTTTCCTTTTGTTTTATTTTGCGCGCTTTTATTCTTTCAATACGTTTAAATTTAAACGGATCTTTTGAAATTCAAAATAACTTTGAATTTTCAAACAGATAATAATAGCTTTATCTTTTGTAAATTCGAACAACATGTAATTAATTCTTCTATTTTGAAAGAGAAAAGATAACTCTCTAATTATTACTTGCAGTGCAATTTTGTAATGACATAATTATTATTCGTTAATTGCAGAAATAAAATGCATGTTAAAGTTTAGATCACGTTTGCATTAAATAATCAATCTGTGACATGACACCTCTACCCACTCGGGTTTTCAATTATTGTGAGTAATGGCGGCTGCAGATGAAACTCGGCTATTAGAGACTATTTAATTCTTAACATTACTCAGTCTAATTAGCTGTTCTTGTGGTGTCTTTGTGAAAGAAATGACAAAATGTTCTTCTGCAAAGTCTCGTTCCTTGAGAAAAGGTAATCGTGGTATTAAAGAACATATTGTTAAATCACGGAAAAGAAACTTCTGCGGTAACCAGTTTACTTTGTGACAGGACATGTCGTTCACAAATATGTCAGTTGACAAGCTAAAGTGTGTTGACATATTTAACGATCTTTCTTACGGTTATGTCATTATAAATTTTGATTCAACGAAATTGAACGTACGGCAGGAGACACTGAAGAATGTAAACAGTAGTTTTACAAAGAGATAGAAAAATTAATACATATTTTCAGAATAACAAATTAATGCTAAATCAAAAATTTTCTTATTTTCTTCTGTTCTGTTGAAATATTGCCCTGGGAAGTGAAACCACTGAAGAGCCATGAAAAACTACTACGTAGAATTATACTGATTTATTATTTATAATAATAACGAACATGCCGGTTTGTCACGTGTTTGCGTCCGATAAATCGCTTGCAAAGAATGAACAAAGGATAACACCGTGGCCGGCAACGCAGTCGGTTGTGAAACAAAACGCATTGCGCTGGCACTTCGAACATCTTAACATCTTCAAATACAATTTTGAACGCATTTTTCTTGAAACAGTGTTTTTCAAAGTAGTAGAATAAATATTTTGACACGTTATTAATCAATCTAATTAAATTTTTCGAAAATGTTCGAAAATTGGTATTTTTTAAAAGCATCAAAAATAAGACAAAAACAGAATAGCAATAAAATGTTATTTAGAAAAAAATATGCAGATGCACTATTTTTAAAATGATACACTACATATTTTTTGTTTATCTGGATCGATTAGTAATCATTTGAGTAATATTGAAATAACTTAACTTATTTTTTAAACATATATTGAATACATTTTGAATATATTAACATGAGTAAATAACCGAGGAGAAGAAAATAATTGAAATGTGCAATGATATCGAGCGTTACGTTATGGTAGCAAAATTGGCAATTTGGTTATCAGCTGATGAATTGACAAATTGTATCAACAAAAAAGGATGTATGGTGGGAGTCATTTCTCTATGATGGATGTGGCGAGCGAACCGCCAATTAGTCATAATAAGTAACAATAACAAGTAATAATAATAATAAGTAATAAATGATGAGTAATACCTAGCGAATAACAGAAACTTGAAAATAATTTTATTATAAATACAATATTGAAAGCATAGAAATTTAAGCAGTAAATATTTAATGAAGAAATAAATGAATTATCAGAACCTTTTATTGTCATATAAATTGTCTTTTAACTTAAAATCATGGATTAAATTAATTTTTTGGTAGAGCCAAACTCGACTTACCCTATCTATGTGTCCGCCATTAACAACCTCCGCTGTGTTAACACAAACTACTCTTTTCAGGCGTAATTTGTTAACGTGAAAGGCTGAACCGTAGCAATACATCAGCACCATTGTTGTAGGAAAATAAAAACAGCAGCAGGCAAGGATCCTGAAAATCGAGAAAAAAGGATGTTAAATGAAGACGAAATGTACATATAAATCAAGATAGAAAAAACGTAAAGTACAATCTTTTTCTATTATAGGATGGGCTAAGCTCCTCAGTAATTTAAAAATTCTAGTATTTTTAAGATTTGGACTTTTAAATCTTTAGAAATTTGAAATTTTGTAATTTTGAAATTTTTGAACATTAAAATTTAAAAATGGTGAAGATCTGTACGTTTAGAGAGGGGTCAGTTCAGATTTTTAGGATGGCTAGACCTGCACCTTAACCTATTTATTCCAATGATCAGCATTAAAAGTACTCTCTAATATATGAGATACTTTGTTTTTCAATAAAGAAGAGAAGAGTATTATCCTTTTTGATGAATAAGTTTTGATATTTTAAACGAATATAAATTTGGACGTATACAAATAACATAAAATTTGTTGTTAAGATGTTCAGATATATTATTCTTTCAATAATACACGCACAAATTACGTAATAATAATTGAAATTTATTAATTCTAACAAAAAGTGTAAAATTCATTTATCCTCATGAATCGTTAACGAGAATGTCAAACTGGGGTAAACTACAATTAACATAAACAAAAACCACCGATGGTACTTCTGACCTGTCTCCATTGTAAGAAAGTGACAGAAAATCATGCTTCAGGTCCTGAGTTAATAATATTATCTTTCAACTGAGGATTGAAATGCAAAAGTTATCGGGGGGGAAATTTTTATTTCATTTTAACGTTCCATTATTAACCCTTTGACTGCTATTGACGCATATATGCGTCAGGAGAAGTTAGTTAGTTAGTTTCTTGTATATCTTAATCATAATCAAATAAAAGTTATCAACGCATATTACTAATTACACACCATATGTTATCAGATTATAATGATGTGATAAAACAAAGAAGAAAATAATGAACAAATTGGGAAATAAAATTTAAGAAGAAAGAAAGAAAGAAGGAATAATCAATTTCATTTTGTAATATTTAGCTTACTCGTTTATCTACATATTAAGTTTATTTCTTCTCGACGCGACGCCCCATTTCTATTTGTTTGCGTTCACCCAATTTATCATACACTTTCTCTTCCCTTGCACTCTGCTTAATCTTCGAAAATTGTTCATTTATTCAAATATTTATTTATTCTCACCTTTATATATGAACTGGTTCATTTATATATATCGTTAATGGTTACAAAATGTAACCCCACTCCGCATCTATTTTCCTAATCGGTTTCAAAAAAAAGTCAAATAAATGAGGTGTTCTTCTGAAAGGCCCATGTTGTTGATTTACTTGAAAATAGGGGCTGGTGGGAAGAGTGTGTGGGCCCTAAATCTAAAATTTTATATTTGGATTTTTATTAGTTTCCGAGATATTATTTAAAAACTTTTGGTACAATACAGACGTAACTAACACATTTGATGCTGCCTGTAACAGCTGTTACTAATATAACTATCGGGTCAATGATATTTTAGAAAATAAAATGATTTTAAATTAATAATAATATAATGAACTTTTCTGACGGCTGCGTAACGAATGGACTGAACTGTGCGGACACGGTCACGCTTTTAAACACCATAAATTACCGCACCGGGTAACACTAATGCTACGAACGCCATTGAGTGCGGGTAGCTTCCATAACCGTTAACGATATGTACAGGGTGTCCTATAACTCCCATTACCCCCTGAAATGAGGAGTTGCTGAGGTGACTTTGAACAACTTTTTCCTTTACCAAAATGTTAGTTGAAGCATCATTCTTGAATTATTAACGAAAACACTGTCCATTTAGACCGCGAGCTGAATCGCGAGAGTGTTGGTTATCGATTACGTTCGAACGGTGGTTATGAACAAGCACGGCCACACCATATTAGCACAATCTGCGGCTTCGTTTTCGAGATATAAACAATTGAAAATTGGAATATCAATTTCCGAAGCGTTTGTTTCGCTTTCAAACAGCTGATAGCTGAACAGATCTTGGGTCAGTGCCCGGACAAAGAGAGATGGAAGAGACACTGACTCCGGACACTAAAGAATGGGCTACTCGCTCAGCTGTCAGCTGTACGAAAGCGAAACAAACGGTTCGGAAATTGATATTCCAATTTTCAGTTGCTTGTATCTCGAAAACCAAGCTGCAGATTGTGCCGATATGGTGCCGCGTTTGTTCATGCCCACTGTTTGAACGTAATCGATAGCCAACATTCTCGTGATTCGCCCGCGCTCTAGTGGTTTTCGTTAATAATTCAAAAACGAAGCTCCAACCAATATTTTGGTAAAGGAAAAAATTGTTCAGAATCACCTCAGCAACTCCCGATTTCAGGGGGTAACAGGAATTATGGGACACCCTGTATAAATGGGCCAAAAACACATTATTTAATTTGTTACATTTGATTTAAAGAAAATTATACAGAATAGCAATTACGTGTATATGAATGAACCACTTTTGTTTTGCAACTCGTAATTAAACAAAGAAATTTATTTATTGAAGCAAAAATATTTGAAATATACCTAAGAGAAGCTCTGGCGAAGAAAGGGTCACAGGCCAGAAGACCAGAGTTGTTGAAGTAGTAGCCTCCTCTTGGGAGCACTAGAGCACCAAAAATCGCCATACTCGCTATCCAGGTAGTTGACATCACTGTCACGCAACCCTGCCGCATGTAATACTGCGTCACATACACAGAAAATAATCATTCTTCTTTTTTCTTTTCAACAATTTCAACATGTGTAAATACATATGTACTGTCGAGAGATGGAAAGAACATTAGGGAAACTCACGCCTCACGCACATACATTCTAGATTATCGTGCGCTATTGGCCGATGCGATCACACACTAATCCCGTCGTCTGACAAAGAAGAATAATGAGACTTCGCAACAAAGCGAGATGGTACGAAGTCAGCGTTGCGGCGGACTTTGAACGCGAGGATCAAACGTGGAGACAGGGCGGAGCATGCGAAGTGCTCCCTTTGCCCCTGTGCCGTCCCGCTAATGTTCTTTCCATCTCTCGACTGTACGTGCAAAAAAGAAACATACACAGATAAAAAATTGGGTAAAATTTCTATTTAGGAGACCAAGCTCCGATGCTCTTGACCTTGACACATGTTGCCAAAGTTACCTCCCTTCGCGAATGACCTTCAAGAGGATTTACCCGTCGCTCCTTGTTTTTTTAAAAGTTATTTACAAAAATATATTAATCCAACTAGATTGCAATCTGTCTATAGGTATACATATATGACCTTGATATTGACCAAATTTTGTCGAATCCCTAAACAACTTTTTCCTTTGTCAAGATGTTGGTTAAGGCTTCGTTTTAGAGTTATTAACGAAAAACACTGTTCAATCAGAGCGCGCGTATAACGCAGACTGATCGACGAGAGTGTTGGGTATAAAAACCAACATTTTGGCAAAGGAAAAAGTTGTTTAGAATGACCTCAGGAATCAACCCTCCGCAGGATTCGATCTAATTTTGGGACACCCTGTACATGGTAAAAAACTTCTTCTCAGTAATCTCCAAAAGGTTTAAACCATCATTTGTTGCTTATTAAAAAGTCATTAACGAAATAACTTTTATAAGTAGAACATATCTTTTCGACACTAGATACATATTTATCTCAATTTGTAACTACGTAATTTTATTGTTTAAAACTTCAATACATAGGCGAGGAAGGCGTTTGGTTTCAGTAACTGCGTTCCGAAATCACATAATCTAATTTAACTCGATCTGTCTTTGAAATAGTTTCAACTATCCTATCCTGAATTTAATTCGAGAATGATTTACGCTATATTATTTTGGGGATAGTTTGGGTGTGTGTTGTCAGCTTCACTGACGAGTTTGGCACATGATCTCGAAACGAAAAACGCCTTTCTCCTACAAATCATAAACCAAGCATACGTAATGTGCTCCTTGGCACTGCCACATCGATAGAACGTCGCTTCTCTTACTTAGTTAGTAGTTTAATTTACGACTTCGTTTTATCGCGGCCGAGCTGCACTTGCATTACTCGAGGGGTCGAACGTGTTAACTCGAACGATTTGACTGCCGAAACGTCCAACAAGGATTACGGTAACCCTTCGATAATTCCCTGCTCTATAATTTCCTGTCAGGAACGCTTCGTAATCACACGCATTACCTGCACATGCACGTGCATTATAATACTATCCTGCATCTACGGGCGTCGATAAATGTATAACTGTGTGTAACATAAGCAAATGAACTTCAGAATCAATAATACTTCGTTTTATAAAGGGTCTCTAACTGAAACCCCGAAAACGAGAGGATCTATCAAACGGATATTTGTACATGACTGTTTATATCAAAATGAAAATTTTCTATGATAACTGTAGATTTACAGTCGCTTGTAGTAAAAATTGGACACGTATGTCTATAAAGCAAATTTTGATTTATGAGAGAATATACAGGGTGACTCAAAAGTAGCTTTAATTTTGAAAAATTTATTATAAAAAAGCTGAAAGAGATATTCAATTCAAATAAATTGTATTTTACTCACAAACGTTGAAAATTTGATAAATGAGATTTTCAAAGTGTTTTCCCTCAGTAACCACTAACAATAAGTGGCGCAGCCCTGTTTCAAAAACAATTCGATCCGAAGACAACATTATCTCTAGTGGCTATTAAAAAGTGAGGCACGAATAACGAATAATTCTATAATACATTGTTCTTAATTTAAGACAATGTAATATTTGTCGCACGCTCCCCTCGATACCCACGCTGTGCCAATGCTTTTGTTCACGACCGAACGCTCTCGTGATTGGCCAGTGTTTTTCGTTAATAATTTAAAAACGAAGCTTCAACCAACATTTTAGTAGAGGAAAAAATTATTCAAAACCACCCTAGCAACCCCCAATTTCCGGGTGTTACAGGAGTTATGAGACAACCTGTATGATAACTTGTTCAAATGCAGTCTTATCAATATTAATGTGCTTTTTGAAGTTACATCTATTTCTTTTTCTTTTAGAAAAAGAGAGAAGTGTTCAGCAGATTGGCTTGGTAGAATGGAATTGGTTGCCGGATCTTCTGCTTGCCGGGTGACTGCTAACCATTAAGCTATTTAGGTCACCGGTGAATATTCTCTTTTTAACTCTTTAAGACTCAAATGGGTACCATCTTCTTTTTAATTGCACCATTTAGTTATATAACATATACGAGGTGGGTCGTTAATCGTCGTGCAATCAAAAAGGGGGTTATTCTACTTTTTAGGTTAAGAAATAAAATTTTTCATCTGAACCTTTGTTTATGCGAAAATTGAAATAGAATATTATTCTTTTACTGATTGTTTTTATCCACGCTAGTGTTTATTAATATTGACAGTAAAATGTTAATGTATAATTTTTTAATACGACGGATTCCGATACATTTTTCTGTACAACATATAAATTTATTAATTAAAAAGTGTGCATTGGACCTGTAAAAGTGGTAAAGTAATTTTCTAACTTGGTTCGAGATCACCAGATCTCCTATATCTTAACTTTTACTTTTGGGATATATGGAAAAGCAGGTATACAAAGAGTATGTCGTATAAAAATTAGTATATCTAAATTAATTGTCTGCTATTTAATCACTATCTTCGATTCTTTCAGATTTGAGTAAAGGTATTGCAAACAATTTTAAGCATTTCTAATATCATATTAAAACTTGACTCAAATCTAACCTAAAACTAACGTTTTCTGCAGGAAAGGAAGCCAGCTAGGGAATCGCGAATAAGAAGAAAGAGGAAATTTCATACTGAAACATGTTCTCTTCTGATTGCTTTCCAGTATTAGTTGCAGGCGATTAAATTTTTGATTTAAACACTCGTCTAGTGTGAAAACCAATAGTAGTTTCGATATATTATTAGAAACAGAATTGCAAATAGTATTACGACGCCTTGGGTTTCAGATCTACAGTTTTAGGTTAGGTTTAGATCTAATTTCATTTCAATATATGATTAAAAGTACGTAGAATTGTTTGAGACACTTTTTCTAATAATATTTTACCTTCTTAAGGGGTTTCCCTAGTATATTGGTTCAAAAAAATCAAATTTTTTTCTTATTGCGCTTTGTTAAAGCTTAACTTAAGTAAATTTGACTTACTTAATTGTAAGTACCGTGAATTTCAAATTTCAAAATATAAAAATGTGTACATAAAACTTTAAACCCAATTTTTCGAAATAACATTTCCAAGACTGGTAATGACGATAACACGAGAATTAATGGCCGGATCCATTTGATATTTTGCAGATACATTCAATAGATGTATAGTTTTCGTTTGACTTAAAACTTTTTTGATGCGTTTAAAACAAAAAATTTGAAACTCGGAAGACTCCACCATTTTTTCTTAAAAATAGAAGCAAAAAAATAAAAACGCTATAATTTTTTAAATTAACAATATTTTTACACGATTCTAGATCAAACTATAGCTACACTCGTACAGATTGAAAAGTTTTTTAGTTCTTTTGTTTCAGATAACTTTAACAACAACAATCATGGTTATCGTCCGCAAACTTTTTTTGGGGGTAGATACGACAAGGTGGCTAAGATGCTAATATCTATACATATTTATGGTTAAATATAGTATAATATATATAAAAAGTGTTACTACATCAGTCGGTTCCGTCGTTTTCATTTTCAAAATTCATAAAAATTACTCTACTTCGAGTACTGTCACAGTAGAGATACCCCTTAAAAAAGCTTTTTCAATTTATTAAACTTTGAAAAACATTGAAAATTGTGTCTAAACAGTTGACAATTATGTACACCTAGAAGTACTAACGGTGATATCATAGAAGGTCTGAAAATAAAGCTTGCAAATTTTCCACGGTAATATTGCTATGAGTCTCAGTAATGAATACCACTGCGATCGCCTTCAAAGTATTTCCCTTGGGACGCCATGCATTGACGCCAGCACTTAGTCCACTCTTCAAAACTATTCTGGAAATGGTTCTATGGAACGACCTTCGGAATTACTGTCGTAATGTTCCTATGTCATCAGTGACATCAAAATGTCTTCTTTTTGATATTTCTCCGGGTGCAAGAAAAAGTCGTTAGATTAAATCTACTGAATAAGGGTAGGTCGAGGATGTTCTCGAACGTTTATTTGTTTGCTAGCTGAAAATTCCCTCCCATGGTGTTGCGTCAGCGGGTGCATCGTCATCATGTAAAATTCATGAATTTTTGGCAAAAAGTTTGGGTCGTTCCCGTCTAACTTTTTTACATACCCGTTTTACAAAAGTACTTTCAAACAGTAAGCCTAGTTGACTATTTACCCAGGTAATTCAAACAATCGTTCAACAAGCACAGGGTGACCAGCTCGCGAACTTTATTGTTAAACCTCGCAGTGTTGGATTAAAGGGGTTACAGCTCCCCTGGCTCTACTTTGCAGGGGGCCCACTTTTAAGTTTTCCAGTTACTACGTCAACAAATATTGAATTAAATTTTGTTTACTATTGCCCCTTTTCGGTACAGTTAAATGTTATTTTATTTCATTTAGAATAAGTTCCAATTTTTATTCCAAGTTTGTCAAGCAAGGGGCCTTGAAGTTTAGATAGCCCCGAGGCTCCAAATATCCTAATGCGGTCCTGAAACCTCGTGCAGTACAATTCCCATTATCCGGAATTGCTATACTCTTCTTTTATCTTTTATAAATCATTATTATATAATGATATAAT